TCCCACTATCCTGTGACATGGTTTCAAGGCAGCCATGTTCCAGCTCTGATCTCATTTACATCAGTTGAAGTAAAGTTCATGGAGTTATGTCTGATTTACACTAGTGGTGCTGAGACCAGAAGCCAGATTTGAGCCTATATTACGGGCTTGTCGACAGTTCATTGGAGTTGGTGTCAAAATTCCCAACTGATGTCAATGAACTTTGGATCTATTTTCACAATTGAAGAGCCTAATTTCCTTCCATTTCAATGGCAAAACTCTCACAGATGTCAGGCACAAGCATATCATGCCAGTCCAGGTACGGTTGTGCTTCTAATTTCAGCCCATTACCATTTACCATATTGTAGCATATGGTTATACTGATCACTAATTTATATATTAAAAGATACTACCTGCTTGCTAAAGTTAAAACCAATAATCTGAAATTGATTTCACCTCTCCAACTGCTCTCTAGTCCTAAAAGGCACTTCAGGAACCACTACCTCTGATAACTCCCACAAAAATATAATTTTTCTAGCCCTGTTAGTGTAACGGATAGCAATGTAAGCAATCTAGGCATAACTTGTCACCTTGGGAATACAGACAGTTTAAATTATGAGTTTTTCGCCCAGAAGAAGTCCATGTGCAGTGAGACTCATGGCATGGATCTTCTAAGCAAACCCTGGCCTATTTCATGTTGCCCATTGGTTTTAGGATTCTGGAAAAGCCCTTGTAGAAAAAAATAAATATTAGGATCCTGCAAGCTGCTGAATACCATGCCGCATATCTGAAGACTGGTGCCTTAGAAAATAATGGCTCATAACATTATAGTAAGAGTGTTCCACACGTTTAGTTCTTTGCACCAATCCTGTAAGACACTATTTCTCACTCACTATATCATAGAAACAACTTCTGGATTATTCTGTGTGGGTTGTTCTTCTCTAAGCCTACTACTGTAACTAGGTAACTTGCATTAGACCTGTATATCCATGGGAAATGTCTGGCACAGTTTAAAAAGAAAAGGGAAAGTCTGTCTTCAACACCACTGAGATCGTGCCTTTAAAATCTTAAAACCAGTTTTTTTCAAACATGGGTATATAAGTTAGACAAAGCAGCTGGATTTTTCACCCTTAGTGCCTTTGGAATTCAGACTGCTTTTATTGAGCTGCATACATTTCGACACCCAAGGTCTGATTTTCAGAAGTGCTGAACACCCCCAAATCCAAAAAATGCCCCAGAGAGATCAGAGTGCGCAACACCACTGAAATATCACACAGCTCTGACTTAGTATTTGCTTCAGAATATTAAAATACATCTCTTAGCAGAACTTCCCATTCCACAGTCGACAATCAAACAGTAGCTCTATGGGCTACAAACCCACAAAAGCTGCAGTACAGAAGACGTTGTACATGTACAAAAACAAAAGAGGAATATTAGACAAGAAATGTATAATTGGCACATTATAAAAATGGCTCAAGGAGCATAAGCACACATTTTTTTAAACTACATTTTTAATAACATGTACTTTCTAACTCCAAAACATATTTCACAGTGAGAAATAAAACAAACACTGTTACACATGAATCGATATTTACACCCGCTTTGAAGCAATGCTTTCTTTTGGTTCCTTCTATCTTGATGCTTAGTAATGATGGTCACCAGAAGTGGGAACATGCACATCTAGGGTCTTCAATTTACATTCAACATAAAGATACCCAAGAGCATACTTTGTGCAATGGCATTAGAATCTTTGTTGATGTAACTACTGGTTTCTCTATATACACCTGAAGTATGATCTTTCGAGTTACACTGAGCATTAGTGTGGCCATGGGAATGCCCCGGCTGTAAGCATGGTCAGCACTTCCAGCAAAAAATCCCAATAGAAGAGATTTGTATGCACTTTAGAGACTATTTAAGTATATAGAGAGATACAACTTCCAGTAAATTCATTGTTGGTGCACAGTACTGGATGGACCTTCTCAAAGACTGAAGTCTTTATTGATCTGTCACAGTGGTTTTCAACATGTTTATCATTGTGTGCCATGTATGCAGCTCTCTGCATGTTACATGGGTCACATTCCGCTGGCTTGCTGAACATGTTCAGCATATAGTGTGGAAGCTTCTAACACAATGGGCTCAAGGAATCAAGAGGTGAATTTAGTCTTCTGGACCATTCAGTCCTTGGTCTCACTTGTTAAGATTGCCAAAATTAATAATATATCATTGCCAGATCCTTAGCTGAGGTAAAATGGCATAGTGACATGGATGCCAGTGGTGTTGCACTAATTTACATCAGTCTATGAGCTGGCCTCCCTTGTGTGCCAATTGTGAGTGTGGTTTTGTGTGGTGGACACTTGACCACGAGGGACTGGGCTGAGATCCACCAACTCAATTCGGAGAGGATTTTAGAAGTGTTAGAGCAAAAAACCCCTCTTGCTCTGGATTGAATATGGCACAAAAAGATTCTCCAACCAGAGACAAATTTTAAAATGACTGAAAATTAGCTAGTGAGCATTCATGCAAAATATGCTTTGTCCATAATTTCTTTTTAAAATACACATACAGTATTGTCAGTATTAGCCTCATAAAAGTCCATACTGCAGCAAATACAAAACTAAATTTCATCTGTTCATTTAATATTAGTTTTGTTTAAAAAATTATAAGTATATATTTACCGGATAGATCTGACTTTACCCTTCTCCCTCTTCAATGCCTTTCTGGTCCACTAAGAACACAATTCATTGGGAAATTTGCTAAAATAGCTATTTACAGCTTCTGATGAGAGCAAAGTTTCCAATCTATCAGTTAAAAAGTACTTATGTAATTTTTGCACAATGTCTGGAATACAGGGGGACAAATTCTAGTCTCGGTTAGCATCAAACCTGGGCAGAGGACTGGCTAAAAGCCTATGCATCACATCAGTTCTATTTAGGACCTGAAAGTATATTTAAGTGGTACATAGCCCTTTTTCTGGTCTCTGTGTACAGGAATCAAATTCACCCTTATAGTGGTGTTAATCTGGAATAAATATCTTCTCCTGCACACACTGAATGAAGGCAGCACTCCCGTTTTCTTCAAAATAACAAAAAATGTCCATACTGGGTCTATCTAGCCAAGTAGCATGTCTTTCAACAGAGGCCAATGCCAGGTGCCCCAGAGGGAACGAACAGAACAGATAATCTTCAAGTGATCCATCCATTTCAGTGCATTGCAGGATTTACTCCTAACTCTACAGGGATTATTTTGGAGTTACCCCCTTGTAATTGAGAGCAGAACACGTCCCATAAAGCACTAAGTGTTAAGTATTATAATTAATACTTCTTTCATGACTTTTCATAATTTTTTTCCTTTTAAAAACAAGGAAACTATTTTTTTTTAAAAAATCTATACTTAAAATGACATTCTAAGTTTTGGCCTAAACTAACAAAATCCAGTGAAATCAAAATCTCTGACAACAGCAAAATTTTGTGTCTGTTTCTTCCCCTCTTCCTGCCACTTCCTTTTTCTTTTCAATTAAGAACAAAGAGCTAGCCATAATTTTGAATTTCCTGTTTGCTGTTAGTTTGAATCCAGACCATTATATTTAAAATGTCATTTTGTTTTTAATACACACACACACACACATACATAAATCCACAAAGAAATAAGAGCAAATACAGTCCTTAAAGCCTTTATGCACAACATAAAACCTCTCAAGAAATAATTGACATCATTGACATTTGACTGAAGTAGATATGTACCAGGCGTGGCTCTAACAAGGCAAAGTTGGAAAGGACTTTTTTTTTTGTCTCTCAGACATTACCATTAATGACATCTGTGGCTGAACAAACTAAATATTCAGGGACAGTAGAAACTGCCAGGTATAGTCAATCACCCAAAGTCTTTATCATTCCCTTCTGTAGTGTCTTACTGTTCATCTTAGGTACTCCACAGACACTGAGAACAAACTTGTGCCAGCCTGGTCACAAAGGCCACACGTGTGTCATGCCACTATCAATCACAGTGCAATGACCAGACATCAATGCAGGAGTTTCAGTGTGATCCAGAGGAAACGAGAATCCCGGAACTGATCTTTGCTTCTTAACATCGTGGGAAAAAGAAATCTTCATTCACAGTATTCAAAACACCAACCTTTTAGCCCCAAAAATATACATCTCTCTCACATGGATGGCCCTCTTAGAAAATTCACAGCTTAGCTAGAATATAAAATAGCTGACCCCATCTCCATTGAACGGATTCCTTTCTCCTGAACGGTAACAGGTAGGCTGTCTCACACAATCACAGCAGATGTTCTAAGTCCACTGGGTTCTTCTGACCAAATCCAGCCATAAAATCCAGTTCCGGAGTCCTCCAGGAGCCGGCCAGCCTGATTAACCCAAATGTTACAACTATATCCTAAGACTCAAAAGAGACTAAGAATATTGAGACACCAAAGATGGGAATGAGGAATGGAGAGGATGCGTTGGATTCGGGAATGGGGAGTGGGGGAAATCCAGACCCAAAACCCAACAACAATGAAGTCCATGCACAGACAGATTAATATCAGTTCGGCAACCAATGTTCACAACTGCACAGCAATCACTGGAGACACTTGGCTGACGATGGATGACTCGCAGGTGCTCAAACCGTGTGTTTGGGGTGGACCTAGTGTTTTATTAATTTTTTTGTCAATGGAATGGATCTCAGTGCTATATTTACAATGATCATTAAAAAAATATCCTTTTTTTTTTCTTCTCTGCAAAATGCCAGGGATGTTTTGTTTCATGCTTTTGGACACATTTCACATTTAAAAAAAATCATAATCATCATCGTTAAAAAAGAAACCCCACTCCACCAAAATTATGATTTTTTTTCTTTTTATAGGGGTGTTTGGGTTTTAGTGGGGGAGGCTGGCTATTTAGTTGCTCATGTCGCTAGATTCTCCGCATTTATGCTGGACATCCGAATCTGAGAGCTGCTCTTGCTCAGAATGGAGAGTTGTGTCCCCCCGTTCACTCCGCTGCTCGCCAGAGAGGGATGGCGATGTTTGAAATCCACAGCAAAGTACCGGTTGACTTTCCAGCTCCTCCATTTTCTCTTTATTTCTGATTGCACCTTTAGGGAGAAACTTTAAAAGGTCATTTTTTTATGTACTGAGCCGCTCGGCTACATGCTGACAGACAATCAAGTTTCAAACATAAACGTTTAAGACCAGTCTTGAACTTCTCACCTCAGGGAACTCTAGGGAGAATGCTACATGGGCAGGGGTGGAGACAGCAGGGAAATGGAATGCAGACCCACTGTACACTCAGTAGATATGCCAAAGAACGCTCACCGACATCAGGGAACATGAGCTGCTACCATTAAGTAGATCAGTGGGGAATCCACGCACATTTATGCCACTGCCTATCATGCTGAATTCTGTCTGACTGATTTCTTGTACTTCCCCATCTGTGTTTACCCATCTGTTGTCTCTTGTCTTACACTTAGAATATGTCTACACTGCGTTTTTTTTGCGGAAGAGGCTATGGAAATGGTGCACTCATTTGCATATCGTGCATGCGCCTTTGCATATATTCCAATTATTTTTGCGGAAGAGGTTTTGCCATTAATAAGCTCCAGGTAGATGGGGTTATTTGCTGGAAAAAACCCCTTTTGCACAAGATCCTGTAAACCTCAATTTTTGAGGCATAAGGGCTCTTGCACAAAAGGGTTTTTTTCCGACAAATGGCCCCGTCTACACGGGGATTTTTAACGGCAAAACCTCTTCCTCAAAGAGGATTGGAAGAAGATATGCAAATGAGCATGCACAATATGCAAATGAGCATGTCATTTGCATATCGTCTTCCTCAAAAAACCCTCAGTGTAGATGTAGCCTTAGACTGTATGTTCTTTGGGGAAGGGATGATCTTATTTTTCTGTTTTTGTACAGCGCCTAGCACAATGGGGTTCCGGTGCATGGCTAGGACTCCTTGGCATTATGATCATGTAAATAATAATAATAATAATAATTCCTAAACCCACTGATTTAGTCTTTGAATCCAGGCCTTTGTTCAGTATCCTGTCTACAACAGCGGCTAATAGTGGATACTTTAGAACAGTGTTTCCCAATTTTATTTGGCTGAGGAACCCTTTTCAGCTTTTCAAAATTTCAAGGTTTGTCAAGCAAAAAAAAAGAGGGGGGTGGGGGAGGAGAGAGGGACCCACCAATTCATGACCCAAGACCCCCCCATCTCCTTTCTGTGAGGCCTCATCCGCTCTGTTCCCCTCCTCTCCATCACTTGCTATACCCAGCCCTTATACTTGTCTCAACCTAGTGAGTGAGATGTGGGGTGGGAATGAGGGATTTGGGTGTGGGAAGGGGTGAGAAGTACAAGCTCTGGGAGGGAATTTGGATGCAGGAGAAAGGGCTGTTGACTCAGGGAGGGGGCTCTAGGCTGGGGAGTGTTGGGTTCAGGAGGAAGGTTGGGGTGCTGAGCAAGCCAGGGCTTGTGGATGTGAGGGTGCTGGAGTTTGGGCTGGATATGTGAGGGACTCAGGGCAATGAGGTTGTGAGTATGATGGGCTCAGGACACAGATTTGTGATGTGTGGATGGTGGAGGAATGTTGTGACAGAAGGCTGAGGATGTGGGGATGCAGGAGTGTGGGGATGTAAGAGGCTCAGGACAGGGGTTCCAGTGTATGATAGGCTCAGATTTGGGGTCAGTTGGTGCAGGAGTGTTATGATGTTGCAGTGAAATGGGGGTTTGGTCCCAATTGGGGGCTTGTTAGCCTGGCTTCATTTTTAAATAAAATATTATGTCAAACTCAAAAGGTTTAGCATTGTCTTTATAT